AGCAGAAGACTTACAGACAGTGAGAAGTGACTAATGGTTACCATGGGGGAGGGTTGGGTGGGTGGGGAGGGTGATGAGGATAAAGGGGCACAAAAATTCTCAATCATAATATAAGTTGGTCATGGGGATAGTAGTATCACATGGAGAATATAGCCAATGATTCTTAAACATCTTTCTATGTTGACAGATAGTAGTAACTGCATTAGTGGGGGTAAGGATTTAATGATATGGGTAACTGTTAAACCATGTGGTGTATACTTGAAACAAATATTAGATTATATATCAATTATATTTCAATAAAAGAAATAGGCAAAGAACCTGAACAGATATTTTTCCAAAGAAGAAATACAGATGGCCAACAGGCACATAAAAAGATGCTCCACATCACTAATCATCAGAGAAATGTGAATCAAAAGCACAATGAGATATCACTTCACACTGATCAGAATGGCCACTATCCAAAAGACAAAAAATAGTAAGTGCTGGCGAGGATGTGGAGAAAAAGAAAACCCATACACTGGTGGTGGGAATGTAAATTGCTGCGGCACTAAGGAAAGTAGTATGGAGGTTCCTCAAAAAACTAAAAATAGAAAAACCATATGATCCAGTAAATTCATTTCTAGGAATTTAACCAAAGAAAACAAAATATCTGATTTGAAAAGATACATATACTACTCTCTGCTTATTGCTGCATTATTTACAATAGGCAATGCATGGAAGGAACCAAAGTGTCCATTAATAGATGAATGGATAAAAAATGTATATACAGGAAATCCTGCATTTGCAACAACTTGGAGGGATATATTGCTAAGTGAAATAAGCCAGGCATAAGCCAAACAAATAGCATATAATTTCACTTATATGTAAAATCTAAAAACAAAACAAAATGAACAAGACAGCAAAGGATTCATAGATACTGAAAAGTAACTGGTGATTATCATGAGGGGTTAGGGTGTGTGGGTAAAATACACAAAGGAGATAAAGAGGCACAAAATGTCAATCATAAAATAAAGTATTCATGGGGATAAAAGTACAGCATTGAGCATATGCCCAATAATTCTGTCAATGTCTTTCTATGTTGATAGGTAGTAACTACACTACTTGGGGTGAGGATTTAATAATGTATGCAATTGTTGAATCACTATGTTGTATACTTGAAAAATACAATATTGTACATCAACCATACTTCAGTAAAAAAGTCAAAAACAGGCTGTATGTAAGCATTAAATGGAAAGAATAAAGCTCAAATAGGAGCAGAGAACCAGTAGAAAATGCAACTATAATCAAAGTTAATCTAAGTTAATAATGTTTATATATAGGATAATAAGGCTACATAATTCAACACTCATTCATGATAAAACACTCAGAAAACCAAGAATAGAGGGAACTCCCTCAACTAGATATAAAGCATCTAAAAAAAACCCTACAGCTGACATTATACTTACTTGTGAAACACTGAATGTTTTCCCCCTAAGATTGGGAACATGGCAAGAATTTCCACCCTCACCATTCTCATTCAACAGAGTGTTGGGAATTCTAGCCAGTGCAATTGGCAAGAAAAGGAAACAAAAAGTATACAGATTGCAAAGGGAGAAATAAAACTATCCATATTTTCATATGACATAACTGTCTTTATTGAACTTCCAAGAAATCTACATATATACTACTAGAATGAAAAAGTGAGTTCAGCAAGGTTACAGGCTACAAGATAAACATACAGAAATCAATTATATTTCTATATACTAGCAATGAACATACAAATACCAAAATTTTAAAGTGCAATACCATTTGAAACCTCTGAAGCCTTTCTGAAGGTGACAGCCTCCCAACAAGAACATGTCTCTTGCAAAGGATCATCTTCATTCATCTCCGGAAGTGGAGGAGAGGAAACACAAGAAGAAGCACTGGGCGCAGAGCCTGAATAGCTACTACATGGATGTGAAATGCCCAAGACGCTATAAAATCATCACAGCTTTTAGTCATGCACACATGCCCCACTGCCCTCTGCCACAGCACAGGAGGAAGAGTGAGCTCACGGAAGGTGCTCCTTCCAACAGAAGCACCAATCAAGATGAGTAGGAGAACATCCCAATAAACACGTTTTGGATTTTAAAAATCACTCAAAAACAAAAACAAAAAATAGGTGGGAGATTCAACATGGTAAAGATGCTGATTCTTCCAACTTGATAAAACAAGTTCAACTCAATTCCTATTTTTAAAAAACAAAAAATTTATTTTAGAGATAGACAAGATTACTCTAAAATGTATATGGAAAAACAAAGGAAGTATGGCAAGTAAAAACAATTTTGAAAAGAAGAGTGATATAAAAGGAATCTCTCTGCCCGATTTCAAGATTGATTATATAAAGTAACCAAGACTCTGTGATATTGGCAGAGGGACAGACATATAGATGAATGGAACAGAATAAGGAGCCCAGAAATACTTCCATGCAATATGCCCAACCGATTTTTGAACCAAGGTGTGAAAGCAATTCAATAAAGGAAAGGTCGCCTTTTCAACAAATGGTGCTGGAGCAATTAGACATCCATATGCAAAAAAGTATCACATTATATAAAAATTACCTTAAAATGAATCACAGAGTAACATGTAAAATGTAAAACTATACAACTTTTAGGAAATATCTTCAAGGTCTGGGGTTGTACAAAAAGTTCTTAGACTGAACATCAGAAGCATGATTCATAAAAGGAAATGTTATGAATTGGATTTCATCAAAATACAAAATGTTTTATCTGCAAAAGACCCTCTTAGTAGAATGAAAAGATGAGCTAGAAACTGGGGGAAAATATTTGCAAGTCACATAACTAATGAAGGCCTAGTACCTACTTACATGTAAAGAACTCTCAACAGTAAAAAAAGCAAATAACTCAATTAGATAATAGGCAAAAAACAAAGTGACATTTCGCCCAAGAGAAATACAAGATGCAAAATAAAGATATGAAAAGATGTGCAACATGATTAGCCATTAGAGAAATGCAAGTTAAGACTACAATGGGATATCACTACACACCTATCCAAATGGCTAAAATAAAAAGGACATAAAAAATTCTGGCAAGGTTGCCAAGAAACTGGACATTCATCATTGCTGGAGAAATGTGATATGGTAAAACCACCCTGGCAGTTTCTTTAAAACTTAAACATGCAGTCACCATACGACCCAGCAGTTACACTCCTGAGCATTTACCCCACAAAATTAAAGATGTGCATTCACACAAAAACCTGCACATGAATGTTCAGAGCAGCTTTATTCATAATAGCCAAAAAGTGAAAGCAAACTGTGGTACATACATAAGATGGAATGGATTCCACTCAACAATAAAAATGAGAAAACTGTATAGAGATACACGAACAACCTGGCTGAAACTCCAGGGACTTAGGCTGAATGAAAAGGAAAAAAGTCAATCCCAAAAAGTTATATATTGTATGATTCCATTTACATAACATTTTTGAAATGACAAAATGAAAGAAATGAAAAACAGATTAATGGTTGCCAGGGGTTAAGCAAGGAGCACAAATAGGAGATGAGAAGCTATCAAAGGGCAAGATCAGGGCCATTGCAGTGATGGAAATGCTCAGTATGCCTAAATGCTCAGACTACATAGATGCCCATATCAGCCTGTGATCATTTACTACAGCCTGTAACATGTTATCTTTAGGAGAAATTGGGTAAAGAGTGCACAATATCTCTGTATTATTTCACATAAGTACATCTACATCCATGATTATTATATCAAAATTAAAAGTTTAACTTTTAAAAGCATATTAACATTTTCAACAAAATAGGTGGCAAGGTACCTCCATGAACCTTAAAATGCAAGTTGGTGGGGACAAATCATGAGTAGTCACAAGATCTGCCTGGAGTTAGTGTCTGTGCTGGAGAATGTAGGGGGAAGCAACTGGTATATCTGAGAATACGATAAATCCCAAATGGCTGATGGGTACTCATTGAAAAACACAGCAGGCCAAGTACAAGAACAGCATGTGAAACTAGGAGGGGTCTGCCCGATCCAACAGCCGTAGAAGGGAGCAGAGCAGTCTCACCCCTAAGAACTCTCTAAGCTGACCAGCCAGGAAACTTTTCTGTGCAGAGGAAGACTTGGGGGTAATAGAATCAAAACTGAGCCAGGCAGGGACAAGGGGATGAAGAAAAGAAGTTCAAAGTGAAGGATGGAAAGACAGTCTGGAACTCCCAAAGCACAAGCTGTTATATGTTATAGCACTACACAGAAACAGCGTAAGAGGAGGCTCTGTGAAGTCCCCTAAAACTCAAGAATATTAATTTCATATAAAAAGAGCAACAGAAAAGGACTGAAGTTAAAGCTTACATAAAGTTAGTGTAAAATCCGTACAATGAAAGCACACTAGAAAAATCATGCTACCAAAAAGACTAAACTATAACCTATTTCAAAACAAACTAAAAGTCATTAAGGAAGGGTTAGATATGAAATAACAACATGAGTAAGAATTAGAAAATCTCAATAAAAACAATATGCTGCCGTAATTATATAATGTGATAAATATCGCTTAAATTGCAATCATGCTGCAATATACAAATATATCAAAGTGACACACTGTATGCCTTAAATACACGAAATGTAATATGTCAAATTTATCAAATAAAAACTAATTTTTTAAAAAAACAAGAAAATCTCAGAAAAACTGGCAGTACCCCAGGAAATAATTAGAAATAAAAGAAACCAATTTCAGAGGCACAGGCTAGAAGGGACAGAAGAACAAATAAGCACAGTGAGGAAGGCCTCAGCAGAAAGAGAAGGAGAGAAGAACCATTTTTTAATGAAAAGTAAAAGAGAGGGAAAGGCAATTCAAGTGAAAACGAAAAATACTGAGGATATGCAAAAAACTCCAACATGTAAAGGATCAGAGTCCCTAGAAAAGGAGAACCAAAGGAAATACTAAATTATATGACTCAATAAAACATTCCCTAAAATTAAAAAAGACTTGGACAACAAATTGAAAGAGAACATAGTTTATTTGAGAAACTCAACCCACACAACTAAAACCAAGATACATCCCAGTAAAATTTCTGAACATGTGTCCTGAGGCCCATGGAGTCTTCTGCGGTGGCTGGCAGAGCTCTAGCTCTTGACCCGAGTGGTGATTATAAAGGTTTTGCCTTAAATAATTCATTAAATTAAACATTTTTTTGTGGTTATTTGTATCTCCATTTTATCTTACAATAAAAAAGGTTCTAAAAAACAGTGAAAAGGAAACAGTGACCATCTGAGCATTTGTCTTCTGAAGGCGGTGGAGATTGCAGTTGGTCAAGAGAAAGACACGGGGATAACGGTTTATGGGTTGGGACTGGATCATAGAAAGTGCACCACTTGGGACAGGAAGGAGTTCGGGCTTAGGGGAATTTCTGCACAATGTCCTTGGATGTGGGGACTATGACCTATATGAGTAGGAGGCAGGAGGGCAGAAGGGTGAGCAATGCATGATCGCAGGACACAAAACTCTAGGAAACTCAGAACTCCTCCAAGGCCTCATGGCAAAGTCACTCTGAAACACTGACCTCTGAATGTCCTTTACTTAGCCTAGGACCCAGGTGGTACTTCAAGTTCCAGGAGAAGAAGCTTCAGTTAGGACCTTAGCACAGCAGTGATGAGGGATCTGCTCTCGTAACCTGCTGGACAGTGATCAAAGTATTGGGAGGGACCCTCAGGCAGCAGGCAGTGCCACCCAGCCAGTCACCCCCAAGACGTCTCCCTCTGTCTGAAGGACTGGGAGAATGGTCTGCCCCTCAAAGACAAGGAAGAAGACATTACCTTGTCCCTAGACAACTGAGTCTCCACATATCCTGGAATGAAAGAGAGGCAAGAAGTAGAATGCCCCAGTTGGGACCAAATGTTGTGAGTATCCTGAGGGGTGGGAGATGACCTACAAGATCGGAGCTCCATCTCCTCTGACCCCCGGAATGTTTCTAGCTTCAGAAAAACTATCTCAATGATCCCTGAGAAGTACAGTGAACCTTCTGCCTCACGTCTTTGACATTAGGAAAAGTGGGAAGGGGGGAAGCCATGGGCAGGCGGCAGTGTGCTCCTGAGAGGCTCGTTACCTGTCTGAGCCCTGGCGCAGATGACGAGTCCCACCACAAGGAAGATCAGCCCGAGCAGGAAGGCTGCAGCTCCACTTAGCATCTTTTCCCAAGAACGTTCAGACTGAGCTCCTATGGGAAACAGGCCTTAAAGTTAGTAAAAAAGCTCTCAATATTTGCTGTACTTTCTTGAAATCCCAGAGTCTGTACTGTACCCCAAATCCAAAGCTAGAGAAGGAATAAATTTAGAAATGGTTCTTTGAAGCCAAGGTTTACACCCATGGGGTTTCTGTTAGTGATTCTTGTAGCCCGTAAGAATGACCCAAAATACTGAGACTAAAGTATTGGAGGACACTAGTTCCCAAAGTTGAAAGTGACAAAGATATTAGACCTCCTTATTTCTTAGAAGATGTAAGAATAGATGCCTGCAAAATTTTCTCCTCCCATAAACCAAGGACTCCAATTTCTCTGACTTCCTCAGCTCAGTGGGAAAGAGGATTAATGCTGTGAAAAGACGAATGCAGAGGGAACCCAGGTCCCATATTGAGACAGTATGACCCTGACTCAGGCCCAGACAGTACAAGAAGCTGGTTCTCACTCCACTCCACAGAAATAGGGCTCAGCAGGCTGGGATGGTCAACAACACAGGTGTAGACATCTCTGAGTTCAAGCGTTATTTCCAGCATCACCACTGTCTGAAAGGTCCAGTCTCCATTCCTGATAAGGCCAGGGGACATGACCCCGGCGCTCTCCTCCTGCCCATTCCGGAGCCACCTGATGGTGATGTCTCCTGGATAGAAACCCGTCACAGAGCAGAGCAGCAGATTGCGGTGCTGCAGGGATGGGGTCCTCTCGGGATACACAGTCACCTCTGGTTGTACTGGGAAGGGAGAGGAAAGTGAGGCATCATGAAAGAAAACCACCAAGGCAGGACTGAGGTTTCTTTAGGGACTACCTCTGCCCCTAATCTCTTTCCCAGATCACCCACATGGAACTGGAAATATGGGGAACCGTCAGACCCCAAGACTCAGAAACTGGGTATGTCAATGACCCTAAGGAGGATTAAGACCTTATCAGACTCTCCTACAATTAGCCTTCTACTTGAGAGCTCCTGAGAACCTTGGGGGTCTGGAACCAAGGCCACAGTGACCTGACCTGCAAGGAGCATGAGTCACAATTGGGGCAAGAACATATATACAAACTCCCCGGCTCATAACCCATATTCTGCTTCCTGAAGCAGAAAATTGCCTAAGTAAAGAAGAGCCCTGGCTCACATGTGGAAGATTCCTGAGCCTTACCAGACCTCCCAGTCCACCTCACCTTTTCTCTCCACAGTGAAGGGGGCGCCCAGCCAGTAGTTATGTCTGCAGAGGGCATCCACAGAAGCTCTACACCTCTCCAATATATCTGACCGGTTATTCCACAACTCAGCATCAGGCTTCCCCAGCTCCGTCAATGCCACAAACATTCCCACACTGCTGTCAAAACGTGCATACTCCTCCAAGTTAAAAATGAATCGCACCACAAACTGCACCTTTTCAGTCCCATTGGTGAAGTAACAGTCAGCCTTTGCCTGAATCACAAAATCTTCTGGAAAAAATAAACAAGACTGTGAGTCAGCTCCTACCTTTGGGAAACCCATACCTTGTAAATTAAGCCAGACCATGTGGATTTGAGAGGAGGCCTTCTGACCTCAGTAAATAGGTCAAAGTAGCCTCTTCTCCCTGGGACCCCACTCTGGTTCCACTTAGCAGTAGAAAAAAGTTTGAGGCCCATCCTGCCAGGCCAGCCAAACAAGAGACATGTGACCCAAAGAAGCAGGCCAGAATCTCAAAAGTCATAGACATTCATTCAACAAATAGTTATTGACTGTTTGAATTTTGCCAGATACTGCACTAGATTTTTCCAAGCTAAGATTTCAGAAGCCCAAGGTTTTAACTCCCTGTATGATCAAATCAAAAGGATCCATCCCCGTATGGAATAATTCTGTAGCATTCTTGCCAGAACCATATTCATTCCATACATTCCTTCTGGAGCAAAGCAAAGGAGTGATGGAGGAGACGCAAAGAAATGCACAGTAGGTACGTATTAGGTGTGCCCTCCACTCACTGTGTTTTCTCCAAGAATTTCCTTCTGGACCTTTTCCTTTGCACTCTTACTCAGAGACCTCATCCCCTCTGTTGGCTCTAATGAGGTAATGACCTCATTGTCTTTCTTGGCATTGGGCAAAATAAAATTAGTCGTGGCTTGAAGGTTATTATCGTCAACATCATTGGCACTATGCCTTCAATTCTAGTAGCTGCAACAACATGGTGATAGGAAGTAATAAGATTAGCTTAAACCTTCTTTGGGGGCTTTTATATTAAACATTGCCACCGAAGAGGGAATCAAAGGAAACTACTTCCATTGTCTGCTACAATTTTCTACTTTCAAAGTACCTTACTAATTTTACAAGCAATTGGTTTGAGCTATATATTTTCATACAATGTTCTTCATTAATCTGCTCATGTTCTCCAAAGTAATTTAATATTCCAGTTACTTAACCAGTCCTCATAAATAAGAAAAAGTATGATTCTCATTTGTAGAGCACACAGTGCTATGGCTCCTGAGGACACAGGGAGAAACTGCCAGCTGAGAACCAGGAGGGAGCCTTCCCCAGAACACCACCACGCTGACACCCTGATGTTTGTGCTCCCAGTTCGTGTGTTGAAACTCTAACCCCTAACGGTGATGGTATTAGGAAGAGGTGCTTTGGGGAGGTGCTTAGGTCTTGATGGTGGAGCCCCCATGAGTGGGATTAGTGCCCATATAATAGAGGCTCCAGAGAAGTCCCCAGCCCTTCTACCATTGAGGACACAGGGAGAAAGTGCCAGCTGAGAACCAGCAACAGCCTTCACCGGAACACCACCACACTGACACCCTGATCTTGGACTTCCCAGACTCCAGAACTGGGAGAAATACATTTCTGTGGTTTATAAGCCACCATCTGTGTTGGTTATAGAAGCCTGAATGGACTAAGACACAATGAAATCTGTCTTAGATTTAAAGATGTGGAAATTTTTAAGAGACAAATTGGTAAATGGCCCTGGGTTATGTCTCAGTTGATTCGAGTTCCAGTTCTGTATCCAGTAGTTTTATGTAGAAACACTTACCCTCCCTGACCTGCTTTCCACTGGTGAAGAAACTGAGGTAGAGCTCAGAAGTATAGTGTTAAGTGAGAAAAGAAACAATGTGATTCAGTGCACAATGACATTTATTAAAATTTAAAAATACACACAGAAAAACAATGCCACATATTAAAGGCCACCATCTGACTTGCAGACATACTGGACACATTAGAATGGAAATATAAGGCAAGGAGGGAGAGAGAATGGAGACAAGAGAAGGGAAGAGAGAGTTCTTCCACTGACAAATGACTACAATGTGCTGTGAACTCACTGGATAAGATGAACTCAAGTCTGTGCACTCGAGAACAATAATAAAAGGAAATTCAGATGGGTTATAATGTGGGTTGGCCAGAAAAGACTTGCCTGAAAAAATGGCATTTAAGCTGAGACTTGAAGGATAGTTGTTACTCATCTTAAATTTGCTTTCATTTCTAAGCTCAGAGGCCTCCCCCAGGAGCCACTGAGCTGATAAGGACTGCGGTGTTCTTCCTGAGTCATGTCATCCCTGCTCAGCTGTCACTCAGTAGCTAGTTTCCAAAGAGGCTCTAACCTCCCATTAGCTATTCCTTACAATCTAAATCAGGAAAAAAAGTATGATAGTCAGATCTATGTCAATTTAAGATCCAGGCTCACTGCTTTTCCATTTATGGTGTTTAATGGACATTATAAGCTCAGAGAGGTTTCTATTCTCTAAGAGCAATGATCTTCCCCCACTCACCCTCCCCATGGGTTTGTTCCTCTTTTGTATTAAGGAGACTTTGACATTCAAACAGGCTCTGTTTTTAGCACGTTATATCCTGTTTTCTGTTGATAGATATGCTTTCATGGTGTAAAACTGCTTCACGTCTACATAGACTATCATCCCAGCTAGAAAAATAACAGCAGTAAATACACATACCCAGTAACCTGAGGACAGGGATAATGCATTCAACTTCTGTTATGTCTCAAAACTGGGGCCTAATAATGCCAAAAGAAGCAACCTTTGTTTCCAATTCCTTTTGTCCACATGTACCCCAATTGGATAAACACAGAAACAGTCACAACCATCAGAGCGAACTCCTGACTGACAAATGACAGCTATTTTCAGGCCGCCTCCATTTTCTGCAGTTCTTGAGGGTGAAATTGATACAATAAGAGCTCTAAGCAAGACAAAATGTTTCCCTCCTCCTTGCCTCCCTACTTCTTGAATCTGTGGCTCTAGTACAGGAAGTCCTTTTTCCCAGCAGTCCACTGTGTATGGTGGACTTGAAGGAACACTTTTCAATGCTTTTGTTCTTCAAAAGGAAGAACACTCCCTTTGAAGGCAAAAGCCAGTTCCAGTCTGGTCTGCAAATACCAGACCTAGGGGGAAAGCCCTTCCTCCCCATGCCAGTGAGGCATACACCCCTGAGAAAAACCACGCTGTTCTTACCTGGAGAGACTTTGCCTCGGGCCATGGAGGAATCCAGCCTGATAAGATTCACTAACAGAATCAACACGCAAGGAGCCCACCTGGAACCCATTCTGGAAGGGAAAAAAAATGAGACAGTAAAATGGTTAGCTTCTTCAGAATGGGGCTTGTTAACTCAGTCAAAATATATTCATTAAGTGTTAAAATACCTTTCTATCCCTCCCAGGACTGGAAAGTCCTCACACTGATAACCAATCAAGATAGAAGAGTTTTGTATCATTAGTTGCTGGGTAGAATACTTTCATAGAGTTGTGTTACGCCACTCAAGAACTGTCTACCTGGAGAATCACTGACAGTAGTTTAGCTATGTGGGAAATGAGCTGAGAGAAAAAGAATAGAAAACCTCTCCATAGTGTGTGATCCTAGAAGAACTAGACAGATTGTTTATTCTTTATCCAGCTATCTATCCTCATCTAGCAATGTCCCTGGCCTGTTCTAACCAATAGTTCTCCTTTCCTATGGGGGAGCTGACATTGCCAACAGAGAATGTGTGAAAAAGAAGAAAGTAGATAGCACTCTAATCATACACCTCAAAAGGAGTTAGTGAAGGGACCATCAGAGAAGATACAGAAGAGACTGAAAATAACCTGGAGAGTATGATTTCCTGTCAACTGAGAGAAAGCCACCAAAAAACATGGAGAGAGGATTCTCAAAATAATTAAGTGCTGCAAAAACATTCAAGAGGATGAAATATAAGAAAGTTTTATTGTGTTTTTAAAATTAGTGGGC